CGCTGGAGAGGCCGGGAGGTGGAAGCGGCCGCCCAAAGGCAAAGCAAGTGGGAGGGGCACTAGTGGTAAGGGACGCTCGAGGTTGCGCCACCTCTGTGGACCCAGAGCTTCAGGGCGCTGCCTGGTCCACCATCCCAAGGGGCGGGCAGTCTGGAACCAGTGGCTTCAAGGGTCCTACCTCAGTTGGGGGAGAACCAGATATGAAAAATCTCCATTTATCCCCTGTTAGATAGGGGATACTTTCGCCTGGTTAGGACAGATTCCAGATCTGGTTCAGATTCCGAGCTATTTCAGAGAGCTTTTTGGAGATTGGCCCTCAAGAGACAGATGGACAGTGGGCTGAGGCTAAGGGCCAGGAAAACTAGGAAATGCCAGACTCCTCTGCTGGCCTGGGGACAGGGCCTGGGTGGGGTTGCAAAGCTGGATGGCCATCCTGAATCTGCTGCCCCACTCAGAACTACAGTACCTTCCAGAAGCAAGCCAGAGCACAGATTAATGTGAGCTGAATTCCCAGTGACCCTAAGACTTGGGTCTGACCCTGAGACTAAAGCACAAGTCGGGAAAATCATGAGGGCAAATTTGCTGGGTGGCAACCAGGACCACTGAGGTCCTGTTCCTGGATAGTGCTGGATAAAAGCCACCCCACTCCCTCCTCTTTGAGGCTCCGCTGACCATTCTACTCAGACTTCTTACTGATGGCTTAGCTCCAGTCTCCTTTAGGAGATTTCACTGGATTGCCCCTTGGCTGCCCTCTCAAACTGTGCACACCTTTTATTCATAAACTGCAAGATGAGAGTGGGGCCCAGAAATGTGCATTTTAAATAGGTACCACAGAGGATTCTGGCCTAGGTATTTCCACCAAGAGTTCTCTTTCCCCTCTATAAATGCATAACTTTATTTACTACATTTGGGGTTTATCTTGATTGTGGTTTTTAAAAATCCCTTTAAGGCAGTATATGCATGTGGTAAATAAAGAAAAAAAGGAGGAAATTGTTCTAAACAAATGTACTGTGGAAAGCAACGTGTTTTATTCCTGATCCCCCTCCCCCAGTTCTCTGCCCCAGAAGCTTTCATTACCATTTTATCCTTAAAAAAAAAAGAAATCCAAAGAACCATATATACGTACATATGCCCATATTTAAAACACAAATTCTGCAACTTGGCTTGATATTTAATGTATTTCAAAGTGTATCCATAAAGATACAAATAAATGTAACCAATTCTTTCATGTGGCTGCTAGTAGTCTGTTCTATTGGGGAACATAATTTTTTTTAACCAGTCCCCTAAGATAGATATATTGGTTTTTCCCAATGTTTTGATTCCTTAAAAATTAAAAACCGCAATGAAAATACTTTTCTTGAATGCATATACCTATAGAATAGAGTCCTAGTATCAGAAATACTTGTTCAAAGAGCTTATGCATTTTTAATTTTGATAGCATCAAATTACTCTCCTTTCAAAAAGAGATTCATTCTACTAATTTACACTTCTAATTAACAATGTAAAAAAGTGACTAGGCAGAGTAATTATCAAATTTTTTTATCTTTGCCAACTAGTAAATGAAAACATTTGCATCTTTGTGCTTTATCTTTTCCTTTGTTTTCTTTCCTTCTTTTTTTATTCTTTCCTTTTACTAACAAGGTTCTGTTACTCTTCATCAATTTTTCAATTGTTTTCTTGGGTTGTTTCCTTATTGATTTATAGGAACTCTTTCCATATTGTTGAAATCCGATTTTGTTGTCATTATTTCTAGCATTTAACCTATATGTTGTTTTCTCTTTTCTCATACTAAGGGTAATTTTTTGTTGTGCAGAAGTTTATTTTTATGCCATCAGATTTATGTTATTCATCTTATATTTTTTCTAGGTCTTTAATTCTCCTCATCTATCCTCCCAAATATACAAATACTCCAAAATTATCTTAATCATCTATGGCACTTTTATTTTCATTTCTTAGTTTTAATTTTTAATCTATCTGGAATTGAATGTGTTTGGCATAAGAATAATCCATTTCTACTTCCCTAACATCACTTTAACTTTATTTTGAATGTGTACTGCTGTATAGACCACATCCCCCCAAACAGCATAATCTCACAACTGGCAAGGACCTTATTTCCCATTCTTGACCACTTTCACTTTGTAGATTAAACAGTCTCCTCACACTTCCCTACTGCCCAGGTGAGTCCAAGTAACATCTTAGGATGTTTCCCAGAAAAGCACAGCTGAGAAGGAAACTTAGGTACATCTAATGCCACCAAGGGGACAAATATGAAACTGGTGATCAGCCAGGGAAAAGGATGTGCTCAGGGTCAGCCAATCAGTGAGAAAGGCAGAACCAGAATCCTGTATAGGCTCATAGGCCATTACTCTTTCTGGTACAACTCTGTTTCCTTCAGGGTCTGTGTGTCATGGGCTGTGCAACTCAGTGGACACCCAGTCAATGTGGGTGAAGGGATGCAGGAAATTAGGCCAACTCTCAAATAATGACTAGGCTATGGAACCACTTGGAGGCTGGGTAGAAGTTCTGGCCTATTAGTATAGCCTTTCCCGTGCACACACACACTCTTACACTCTTAGATATACACACACAATATCCTCCAGACAGGTGGATCTGCACTCAGCTGCTCTCTTCTGTGGGCCCCACGCCTTTCCTATGGCAGAGCAACTTTGGATAGACAGCCCTAAAGGCAGATCAGGGACTTTTTGTCTGTCTCAGGTGTTTAGAGGGGCTAGACCCTGGGGCAAAGGAAGCCAAAAAGCCAGACAAATTACAGGGGCCATGGAAACAAGAAGATGCTGTTTCTAGGGTTCTACTCAAACTGCCCAGAAAACAGGACCAGCTACATAACTGTGGGGCTCAGTGTAAAATCAAAACTGTGGAGCCTCTTGTTCCAAATATTATCAGTAATTTCAAGACAGCAACAGTAGGGCATGGAGCCTGCTATACTCAGGATCTGTGTGACAGCACGTGCCCGTGAAGCTAGCCTGCAGAGGACAGTGGGTTAACTATGGAGGGAGGGGAGAGAAGAGTCCTCCTTAGGCCCCTAAAGGTTCAGAGTTTAGGGTAAAATGGGCTGGGGATTATTCATAATAGCCAAAAATGGAAACAACCCAATGTCCATCAACTGATAAATATAGAATGAAATGTGGTATATCCATATAACAGAAAAATCATTCCAACCAGAAACAAAGTACTGATTCGTGATACAACGTGGATGAACCCTGAAAACATTACCCTAGTGAAAGAAGCCAGGCACAGAAGGCCACATGTTACATGATTTCATTTGTATGAAATGTCCAGAACAGGCAAGTCTGTAAAGACAGGTATATTGATTAGTGATTGTCTAGAGCTGGGGAAGTGGGAGATAGGGGAGAGGGCTGGGAATGAAGGCTAAAGCCTACTGGTCTCTTTTGGGGGGTGATGAAAATATCCTGAAATTAATTGTGTGATGGCTGCACAACTCTGTGAATATACTGAAAATCATTGAATTGTATATTTTAAATAGATGAATTGTATGATATGTGAATTACATCAATTATATTTCAACAGAGCTGTTACCAAAAGGAGAGGGGAAGGAGGAGATGGAGGAAGAAGAGGGAGAAGAGGTGGAGGTGGAGATGAAGGAAGATAAAAGAGTGATCTTAAATTTCTCCTTTCTCTCAAACTAACTTTATGCAGGATGCCCCCCTTATCCATGAAGGTTTTGGGGAACCCAACATGCCTTCTCTAGCTGCAAGAGGTGTGTATGGGGGGTGGGGTAGTGTCTTGCTTCCTTTCCATTTGGTATGACTCTAGGAGGCAGCAACTTGCAATAACATTTTTTTTAAATTTCACTACTCTTTAGCCAGTCCTATGTTCCAATCCTGACATTGCCACTTCCCATCTGTGTGACCTTGAACACTTCACCCTCTCTGAGCGGAGCAGTGGAGATAAGCAGATCAGCGATGGCATATGCGAGAGCATGTGGCTCACCCAAGGGCGCTCAAGAATCGGAGCCAAGAGGAGGATTCGGTACCGCTTAGCTACCTGAATAAGGCGAGTCCCCGAACGGGGAAAACGCGGTGCCGCGGAGGCCGCCCGGACTCTTCAGGAGCCAAGGGCCGGGGAGCAGCCCTCAGAGTCTCTCCCCACCCCCAGCCCTGAGCTCGGAAGGAAGCCAGGACTGCGGAGGGGCCCCGCGGCCCGGCCGGGGAGCCGGGGCGAGGGCCGGGAGCCGGGCCCGCAGCCGCCGCTGCTCATCCATCAGCCGGACGAAATGCAGAGGCGAGCTCTCGGCCCTCTGTTTGCTTTCTCGCCAATTATTGCCGCGCCGCAGCCCTTTTGTTGATACAGTAGTCCGAAAAAGTGCTAATGTTCATTTATCAGGGGGCCCGCCGGGGACTCCCACGAGTTGCGATTCTTCCCAAAATATAAACATGGGGCGAGCGTCTCAGACAGAAACCCCCATCTGTTTCCCCGGCGCAGGCCGAGAGCGAGGCGTTGTTGAAGATAAAGCCGCGGATAACACCGCCTGTCTCCAATGGACGTCTCCCTGGCGCATTAATGACATTCCCGGTGATAGTTCCAGCTTATCTTTCAATTAATCATATATACCTTTTGCGGCCGGCCCTGCTGATTGCAGGAAAGGGGGGCCGGCTCAGGCCGCGCCGATCGCTTTTCAATTAATAATATTTTATGTGCCCATAATGCGCTGGAGTCATCTGGAATTTGCCTCATCTTAAAGCACCAACCCTTTAAAAGGCAAAGAAATAGAAGGATAGATTTTTCTCTCTCTCCTCTGGGCCTCCTTTTGTCTCTCTCTCTGCCTTTCTCTAGGCTGAAGACTGTTTGTTTGTGCTGCTAGTTTGGCAAAAGTACGGCTTAGAGAGGCGGCCAGGTTGGGTCAGCCGCCCTTGGGAAGGAAGATGCGTCCCTAGTGAGGCTGGAGAATCAAGTTTCGTCCCGCCCCACCCCCAATCATTGCAACTTGCATTTAAAGAAAACAAAAGGTTGTTACTCACTCAGTGAGGACTGCAAAGAAAAGTTAGAAATTACTCTTGGACATTTCTCTGCGGGAACAGCATAGGTCGCCCCAATTTCGATTTTGCACGTATTTATCCGTTTTTGGCCGGGTTTCCGCTCTCCCGCAACGCCAAGGCCTGTTTTAGAGTCAAGAGAAATTATTACCGGATTATCATAGGGGGTGGAGAAGTCACTGATTGTGTCCAAATAGGGAGGGTTTTCTTTCCTCCCCTTTTCTTGACACCTGACCCACAGGTCTGTCAGCCCTGGGAACCCCCATGCCCGAAAATAGGTGATAAAACACGCCTAGATTTGCAGAGAAAATGCCGGGGTTTTTTTTCTTCCTCTAGAACTCTCTCTTAAAACAACACCCCCACCCCACCCCAACACACACACATACACAACTACAAACAGAGATCCCGGATGCAGCCTCGATGTCCCCCATTAAACGGTAATATTTCAGGCGTCGGCTCACACTAATCTTTCAAACTGTCATCGCGAGCCGCCCGGCCAGCCCATTCACTTAACAGAGCTCCCAGGACCCCCGCGCTCCGAGGTCTTTTCAGCTAGACGTTTAATTGAATCGGATGTGGCTCGTTTGCCAGACGTCACCGCCTTAGCGATAGGCATCCTTTCCCACTCCCCCCACAAAAAAAAAATCTTCAGAGGCAAGGTGGGCCCCCAAGCTAGGTTATTTGAGGGCAATAATTGTAACATTGGCCAAAATCCGTGGTAAGGAGGGACCGAAGAGAGTCCACTGATCCTGATCTGAAGATCCGTCGGGGCAGAAGCCCGGTTGGGTCGTTGGGAGGCAGCGGGTACGAAAGGTTCCTGGGTCTTGAGAGCCCCCCACATTTGTAAAGAGGCATTTCTTCGGAAACCAAGCGAACAATCTCACAACCTTGCGTGGCCCCTGGTTCGAAACTCAAAGCGAGATTGCGCCGCGGAGGCCGGGGTCTGATACTGGCGGCCGGCGCTTGGAAGCCTGTGTCTAGTGCTCCGAGACTCCGGGACCGCCGTGCGGACTCCGCACTACTTCGCCCTAGCCTGGAGGCCACAGACTCTGGGAGTGTGGGCTCGATGATGGGCTGTAAGGTTCCAGTGTTAGGCCTGTGTTTGACTCCACTCGCGCTCCTCCCGACTGCGCAGCCCGACGGCTCACCGTCCCGCTTGAGCAGCCTAAGGTTCACGTTCTGGACAGACACCACCTTGTCCCCGTGGTTTGTGAGTGTCCTCGGAGCCTTGCGCTCGCATTCTGGAGTCTTGGGCCAGAGCCGTGTCCAAGCTAAGGACAAGCCTTTGGCCCTGAGCGCCTTTCTCCTACTTATAGCGCTTCTTCCCAAGTCCCCAATTGGCCCTCCGCAAGCAGCCGAGCCCTTCAAGACTCCATTCTCAGTAAATCCGCGCGCCCCAACTGCGCCTCTCCCTGAGCACGCTTTGGTCGTGGGAAATCGATGTTTTTCCGATGACAAGACTCACCGTACAGATAGGGTAAGGCTGTGACCATAACCTGGGGCCATTCTACCTGCCCCAAGATCCTCCCTGAAACTGTATACAAATTAGAGGGCCTTTCTGCAGTGTTCTAGAGGTTAGGGGAAGGCCCGAAATTTTCATCAGATCTGCTAAGGAACCCAGAGGGATGAGGCGGGCGCGCGCTGGATCTAGCTGGGCAGCTTTCACTCCTACTTCACTGATCCTGGGCTAAAAATTAACACCCTGCCTGCCCTGCCCTTCACCCATGCCCCTAGCCAAGCCGCTGCTGCAGCCACTTGGGCGCCCCACTAGGAAATGACCCAGAGACCTCAGGGAAATCCTGACCTGCGGAGCTGAGAGGAGCCCCGCCTGCCGGAGAGCTAACTGGAGCTGGGGCCTTAGGCCCTGGGGCTGCAGAGGCCTGGGGGTCTTGCTACTAGGCAAGGAGAGTAGGGAAGAAGGAAGGTCAAATGGTGGGCTCCAGAACAGGAGAAACTAGGCCGCTGGGAGCTCTGGTGCCCTAGAAGACAGCTCTCTTCTGGGAACCTGAGCTTACTAGCTGGGATTCTGGATTTGTTTCATTATTAAAGGTGGGGTCATTATCTTTGAAGGTAGACTGGCAGCCACTGGCGCCCCCTGGAGTTGTGTATATACAACTTGCACTAGTATAGGTGGCCACCTCCCAATTCACAATCACACATCTTTGCCTCCAGGATCTGGTCTTCTGGGGAAGGGGGGACCACTGAGGCATGACTGGCCTTGTAAGTCAAGCCAAACATAACTCAAAAATTGTCCATAATCTCCCCTTCCTGCCATCACCCCAGAGCAAACCCTCTCCCCCATGCTTCTCTCCTGATATGGTCTCTTCCCAGTCAGACAGGGTTTCAATAACAATGCCTCTAAGATTCCTTGAAATGACTCCCCTCTCCTGCCTTCCACCCTCACTCTATCATTCTGCTTTAGGTGCTGAGGCATTTCTTCAAATCCCAGATGAACCCAGCCCCGCCCAGAAGCCTGATTTGGAGAAACATCTGGTCCTTTCCTGTGAATAAGTCTTGGTGGGGTTTTCAGGCTAATACCACAGCGAAATCTCAGGCTGCAGGAGTAGAAGGAAAGCCTTCCAAATGTCTCGCGGCCCCTTTAAAAAGCTAAGCAGGATTTTTTTTTTTTTGAGCCGTATGACTATATTAGGTGACACGAAACTGCTCATCGCTCCTGTCATCGCGGCCCCAGGCCCAATGGCAGGCTGAGTCCCCCTCCTCCTGTCTGGTCCCGCCTCTCCTGTCCCTTGTGCTCCGCATTACCTGACTCCCGGCCACATCCCGAGCAGGAAGGCGGGTGCGCAGGCCGGCGGCGGACACCATGCAGGGAGGCTGCCAAGGGCCGTGGGCAGCGCCGCTCTCTGCAGCCCACCTGGCGCTGTGAGACGCGCGCTGCCACCATGTTCCCTAGCCCTGCGCTCACGCCCACGCCATTCTCCGTCAAAGACATCCTGAACCTGGAGCAGCAGCAGCGCAGCCTGGCAGCCGGGGAGCTCTCCGCGCGCCTGGAGGCCACCCTGGCGCCCGCCTCCTGCATGCTGGCCGCCTTCAAGCCCGAGGCCTACGCGGGACAGGAGGCCGCGGCGCCCGCCCTCCCAGAGCTGCGCGCAGAGCTGGGCCCCGCGCCCTCGCCCGCCAAGTGCCCGCCTGCCTTCACAGGCGCCCCCGCCTTCTATCCCCGTGTCTATGGCGACCCCGACCCTGCCAAGGACCCTCGAGCAGATAAGAAAGGTGAGGAGGAAACAAGCCCCATCTCCCCTCTGAGGTAGCTTTCGTCCCCAGCCGCCGCCAAGAAACTCCGGCCGAAGTGGAGGAGACGCGAGTGCCTGGGTGGGTGCTCAGAAGCGAGGCTATCGCCAGGCCCCCCGCGCCTCGCGTCCAATCGGAGTTTTAAAGGAATGCTGCATTGCGATGATCGCAAGCAAGAGACAAAAGGAAAAAAATATTTTTTGAGGCCTAACAAAGCCCCAGGCGGCAGCAGCCCTGCTCCTGGATCTGTTACCAAGCTGAGCGATCGGTTTGTGGTAGACAGAACATGAAGAAAGATATAATCTCTATATCAGGGTTTAAAAGATATATCTTTTGGATTTAAAAGTCTTTCTGAGGAATTGACTAAAGCCGCTAAACAGAATTAAAATCCTGCACCCAGACATGATTGTGCGCATAACTGGAGCTGAGTTCAGAAACCGGGTTTCTGGGGCCCTCCCCTCCTTTGTGCTAGGAGAGTGGAATCTTCGGGAAGAAGGGTCTTGATTTAAAAATGAGATACTGCCGATTCTCGGGAATCTGAGTTAGCAGCTTTATGTTTCAAGCACAATTTCCAGACGCAGACAGGGCCGAGAGGTTGGAAAAAGAAAATGCCGCGCGACTAAAGGCGCTGTGCAGTGGAGATGACCAGGAAAAGTGGCCGATCGCCAAGCATGCCATCCCAGGGTCCGGGAAGGGGGGGCAAGGGAGGCTGACTGGTCCGCGGAAAAGGGGTGCGTTGTGGAGACCGTAGCCCAACGCCGGGTTCAGGCAAAGCCGGGGAGGCCACGGGCGCAGGGCGATGGGCTACTGAGCCCAGAAAAGATCTTTCTAGCCTAGTAAAGTTTGTCTAGCAGCAGAGGGAAGGCCCCGGGAACAGCTGCCGGTAGGCAAGGCGGGCTGAATTGATCTCTACCAATTCGAAACCAATTCCAGCTCGCTGCTTCTTGGGCGCTGCAAAAACCCTCAGGGGCCGCGCGTGAGCCTTCGATCACCAAATCAACACTTCCTTACCTTAAGTTTCTTCGGTTTCATAATTTTCAGACAATATGACTGACCCTATGGTGAGGCCTCGGTCTCCCCTCAGTTAACTGTTCAAATCAAAGCAGCCCTAATCTAATTCCCTCCAGCGCATCATCTGGTTTTACTTTCTTTACAACCTGAATTCTTAAGTCACTGTCTATCTCCCTCACCAGAATGCGAAGCACTCGAGGGCAGAGACCTCTCCTGTTTGGTCTCCAGTACCTACAGCTGTGTCTGGCCCAGGGTAGACTTTCAACCAATGTTGACTGTCAGGCGGAAACAGAGCCATTCGTGGTGCCCGGTGCCCTCGGCAGAGCGCGCGGTAGCCAACCTGGGCACTCCAGACAGGACGGGTGGCACTCACTAGGGCCAATTAACCGGTGGGGGCTCCGCGGGTTGGGCCACTCTGACCTGCCCGAGCGTCTGTCTGCCTCTTTGTCCCCCTCAGAGCTGTGCGCCCTACAGAAGGCGGTCGATCTGGAGAAGCCGGAGGCGGACAGTGCGGAGCGACCCCGGGCTCGACGGCGGAGGAAGCCGCGCGTGCTCTTCTCGCAGGCGCAAGTCTACGAGCTGGAGCGGCGCTTCAAGCAGCAGCGGTACCTGTCGGCCCCCGAGCGCGACCAGCTGGCCAGCGTGCTGAAGCTTACGTCCACTCAGGTCAAGATCTGGTTCCAGAACCGGCGCTACAAGTGCAAGCGGCAGCGGCAGGACCAGACTCTGGAGCTGGTGGGGCTGCCCCCGCCGCCGCCGCCGCCGGCCCGAAGGATCGCAGTACCCGTGCTGCTGCGCGACGGCAAGCCGTGCCTAGGGGACTCGGCGCCCTACGCGCCAGCCTACGGCGTGGGCCTGAACGCCTACGGCTATAACGCCTACCCAGCCTACCCGGGTTACGGCGGCGCGGCCTGCAGCCCCGGCTACAGCTGCGCAGCTGCTTACCCGGCCGGGCCGCCCCCCGCCCAGTCGGCCACCGCCGCTACCAACAACAACTTCGTGAACTTCGGCGTCGGGGACTTGAACGCGGTGCAGAGCCCCGGGATTCCGCAGGGCAGCTCGGGAGTATCCACGCTGCATGGCATCCGAGCCTGGTAGGGAAGGGACCTGCCTCGGGCGCCCCTGGTCGCTCCCACCTCCAGAGAGGGGCATTGAATTTCGGGAAGAGGGAGGGCTCCCGACTCGTCTCTGCGTCCTCGGATTTCACATTCGGTCTCCCAGAGGCCTTGGAGCTTTTTCCGCCCCATGAGTCTTTTTCCCCGAGAGCCTTTTTCCCCATGAGCGGGAGAGTTTCTGGACGAGTTCATGCAGTTTGCGGTGAGTGATCCCGCAGCCTGGTGCCTTAGCGGTCGCTCCCGGAGTGTCCTCCGGGCGCCCACGGGCATCCCCAACCGGCCAGTTAGGCCTGGGAGCCCGGGCGCTCTGGGCCCAAGATCTGGCCGCCTTTCCCTGAGCCTGGGCCCGGCGCCCGGGCAGTTGCTGCCTTGCCGACGCCCACCCACCCGTATTTATGTTTTTACCTGTTGCTGTAAGAAACGAGAATCCCCTTCCCATTAAATAGAGTGCGCTGAACCCGCCTGCGTGCTTCTTTTAGCTTGCGGCGCTCCAGAAACTGAATTTCAGAGAGGCAGGCAGTTGCCGACTGGTCTTGAGATGCAGGCATAGACATTCCCTGAGCAAACAGATAATAATAAACCCGTGCTGGATCCCCTGTTAGGCATTTTCTGAGATTGTCTCATGTAATCTTCAATAACCCAAAAAAGGAGGTCATATTTTAAAGTTTAGAAGACTGAAGCCTGGAGGGGTTGATGACGTGCCTGTGAACAAATAACCAGTCCCAGGAAAACCGAGGTAGGAATCTGGGTCTCACTTAAAAGACAGAAGTCACTTGCCCAGAGGTCCCAACCTCACCTCCTTGAACCTATGTGCTAGACACTGTTCCAGGTGCTGGGCATTTAATGGAGAGCAAAGGGACCTGGGCCCTATGCAGCTGGAGCAGAGCACACCATAACTCATCCCAGGAAGAACACCTTAGCCCATTTTACAGAATGACCAAGCCCAGAACCAAAGCTCTTGCCAGTTTTCCCTGAACTCTCCAGCCAGCCAGGCTGGAAGAAGACTTGGTGTCCCAAGGTCCTGGGCCTCACCAGCTGCTGGGTTTGGCTGATCTTAGAGAGGTGTCCAGACTACAGTGCTCACCTTCAACTGTGGCTAGGCCACAAAAATTTACGTGGTCTGGGAGCCCACCCACCACCTCCCAAACCTGACCATTGTCTTCTCCTCTTGGCATTTAACATATTTTGACATAGTCCTGACCAATGAAAGCTATTGTATAGGTTTTACAGATGAGAAAACTGAGGCCCAGCGAAACCGAGCTAAAAACCTGCTGGCTATGGGACTTAACTTGCTGCATAC